TTAACTGTTTTCCACTTTTTCTTTGGTCATTTTAGCCTTTTTGGCCAGGGTGAAGGGAGTATCTGCCATCAAACAAGAAGACAGCCACATGTAACTACGATGATGTTTGCTAGTTCACCTTACATGCATTAATGTAATAACGTGGTTAGCCTACTCAACGTAAATTACACACCAACAACATTAAGCTACTCACGCAGAGAAGAACGGCTGCTGCCGTCATCATCCTCATCATTTCTGCTACACTGGCAGGGCTAGGGGCCAGGACTCTACTCTAACTCCTAACTCCGGGTCCGATAACCGGCAACCCACCCACAGTAGATGCGCTCAGTCTGAGGTCTCGCAGCAAGCTATCAAATATGGCGCATTTTTCAGCTTTTAAAAAAAAAACGCTATGCGTCGCCAGGTGTTTCATCGGATTTGAGGTGTTACCTCCTTTGACAGTATCACAGTATCACCTTAAAGCACTTGTTGCAGGCTGCTGAGTTTACATATTTTGCTGTGAAGTACAGCCAGACTTTTGACCGCTTCGCCTTGGACATTTTTAATCTGTAGCTCTGCTCTAAAAGAACGTACGTACCTGGGCCCGCCTACTATCCTCAGAAACGTAAAAAGATTGGCTAGAATTCAAAGTGTATGACATCTCAGGAAAAAAAAGCACCGAAATAAAGCATGTGCACTGCTTTTCGGTCTGGTTACTACCGTTTATGTCAGAACCGGTGCCATGATGGCACCAGATACCGGTACGGATACCGGTACCCATCCCTATTTGTAATGAACGTCACTTTTGCTTAGGACCTACTTTTAGCTGCGGCTTTATGTGCAGTTATTCTTCTTTGGTTTGTGGGACTGGCATATGAATGGCAAAGTTTCTCGCTGATCTGAACTGCTTCCCTCAGATGTGCTTATATGTACAGTTTAGGGATTATGATTAATTTTAAGTCTTTAAGTCATCCTGGGTTGAAGAGATTCGATGTGATGACACTGAGTGATGTTGCAGGGCAGAAGCTTTCCTCAGCCGGTGTTGTTGTGGACACGTTTCCCCTCCACAACCGAAAAAAACTGAAGGACCTCCGTGAAGCCTGGTACTCGGGGAATCAGCTGGCTCAGCCACTTGGTGGGTGGAAATACAACACACTGCTTTTAAGCTTGGGTGCAGTTTTGTTCATTCAAATAGCTGTAAAAATCTTACATTACATGCATTTGTCACTCCTGGAACGTATTAAGATTCATAATCGATGGCTGCGTGGATGTGCTCACACCAGATATCTCTGTCTAACTTATTAGATTCAGTCAATGACTATTTTGGAAGCGCTGTGGCGTTTTACTTCAGCTTCCTTGATTTCTACACCTGGTCTTTGCTCACACCTGCAATACTGGGCCTGGCCATCTCATACTTCTCAGGTAGGTGTGTGGATTTATCCACATATGGCCTTTATGATGTATTTGGCACTCAAAAACAACATGCTTATACAGTTGCTTGCAAAAGTATTCGGCCCCCTTGAACTTTCCCACATTTTGTCACATTACAGCCACAAAATGAATCCGTTTTATTGGAATTCCACGTGAAAGACCAACACAAAGTGGTGTACACGTGAGAAGTGGAATGAAAATCATAGATGATTCCAAACATTTTTTGCAAATTCTCTAATTCTCTAGTTATTACTTTATATAATGGGCCACTTATAATATATGATATATATTTGTTCTTTTTGAGTAATAGAGAAAAACTGTCTGAAATAAAGGACTTTATCTACTATAAAAGAGGTTTCTTCAGTTCTAAAATCAAATGGTGGAGAGTCAAAGCCCAGGTGGGCGTTGTCCCTTAAGAGGTTTGTTGACCTATTAATCATGTGACTTGACACTGGAGCCAAGGTGTGAAAAAAGGCATGAGTCATTAACAGCAGCGGTTTCGGGTGAAGTCGCTGTGAAACCGTGCATCACCCTGTCATGTTACCATTTGGTTTTAGAACTGAAGAAGCCTCTTAGATGAGCTGTGAAACGTCTTCACGAAACTTAAAGAAGTCCAGTTGCTTTCTTTTCAAGCTCCTTAGACAACCATGAGAACCTAACACAGACAAAACAGTTATGTATGCAGTTCCCACGGCCAGTAATTAAACACAAAGCACAGTGGCAGACCCTTTTTACTACATTTCTTTCTTCTGTTGGAAGTTTGTATTAATATTTAATAGAAACATGTCAAGATGAGAGTTTACTTTTTAAGAATTATTTCAGAAACCAGTTGTGGAAGTTTTATGGTGATTTTTATTAGTTGTTTTCATAAATTGTAGTTTTCAGGTAAGAAATATGCTGTTTTACCATATACAGTATAAAATACTGTGCTTCAAAGAAGAAAACACCTACACAGAATTGTCTTCTGTTTCTACCCTCATCCCCTTGAGCCTGATTCTGCCCGAGGTTACTTCCTGTTACTTCACTGTCACTGGAGTGACTCGAATTGACTTAAAATACAACTAATGCTCAAAGTAAATGTTTTCTGTAAGAAGAAGTGAACTTATATGAATTGGAAACAGTCTGAAGCAGGACTGTTGTTGGCTTTTTCCCACCTTTTCATTAAAGTCCTATCTTCTCCCACAAAGACCAGTGATTCCAGACTGATTAAATCCAGTTATTAAACATGAGATGCCCCGCTGTATGGATGTCACTGACAGGACACAAAACTCTTCCTGTCATCACAGGTGAGGTTAAGAAGGAAATGGTGGATTCGGTCTCGGGATCGAAGGTCATAATTAATGATGATGACTCAGGACCGATGATCAGCGGCCACATGCTTCAGGCGATGTTCAGCATGATCTGGTCCACGGTGTTCATGGAGCTGTGGAAACGCCGGAGCTCCTCGTTGTCGTACCGCTGGGGGACCATGAACCTCGCAGAGCGTTTTGCAGAGCCTCGGCCCAATTTCTACGGTGACCTCGGCGTAAACCCCGTTACAGGTCGCGTGGAGCCTCTTTTCCCTGAATGGAAGAGAGACCTGCGCATGGTGCTGGTGTCGGTCCCAGTTGTGGGGCTGTTTCTAGGTAGGTGCAGAAATGTTTTTTGCTCTATTTTCTCTGATTCTGCAAAGATTTAGCAGTAAAAGATGAAATGCCTGTCCCGCCTCCTCCTGCAGGGCTAGTGGTACTCGGTATGATGTGTTTCTACTGGGGGGAGGCCCAGGTGAAACAGCTACACAAAGACTGGAACTCCCTGCTGTCTCAGGCTTTGCTCTACATACCCTCAGTGCTTCACATCGTTTACACAAACATGCTAGGAAATGTTTACAGGAACGTGGCGCAGAGTCTGACTGAATATGGTGAGTGAGACTGAACTGCAAGGAGAATACAGACCCATGAGTTTGTTAATGCAGTGGAGATGTTTCTCATTTGAACCGTATGTGTGTTGGCAATTTTTAGGATAGAAATCCTGCACATTTAATGAAATGCTTTTACTGCGTCCCTCTAGAAAACCACAGAGAGGAGTCCGCCTTCGAGAACCATCTGACAGCCAAGATTTTGGTGGTTAGTTCCTGCTTTCCTCTCCTTTTGAACCATTATCTTATAAAGTACAGGGATTCCTCTTTGACAGGTTCTCCTTTCTTCCTTCAGTTCACCTTCTTCAACAATTTTGCCGTGCTCTTCCACATTGCCTTCTTCAAGCAGGATGTGCCCCTGCTTCGTAAGGTAACCTACGTCTTGCGCATTTTATGGTAGAAGCCAAAAGATTTCATTTAGAGTTTCTAACTCCGCCCACCTGTTTTGTAATAAAATCTTTCTGTTGAACATTATATATTCTGTACAGCTATTTCAGTGTCTGCTAAACAGACCCATTTAACTGTGTAAATAAACTGAAAGAGATTAGCAAGCTATAACTGCAAAAAAATGATTCTATATAGAAAGAAGGGCAGTGGTCCTAATATGAAGCTCTGGGGAACTCCTTTAGATAATCAGTGGAAAAGTGGAAGAAGTAAAGGGTGGCAGAATTATATTCCTTGTTTTACTTTCTTCAGCGCCTGGCGTCTTTGTTGATCGTGAGTCAGCTGGTTAACCAGGTGACAGAGGTGGTTATACCTTTCCTGGTGGACAGATTCATCAGCGCCCCCCACAGGACAGAGAGTGAAGATGACCCTAAGGAGGACAAATTCCGGAACCAGAGAACCCTGCCTGTTTTTCCTGTGAGGATATAGAAAACATTAGGCATGCACTGATAGGGTGAAATATTTAAAATATAATCTGGCCAATAGCAACTAAAAATATTTTTTCAGGCCAGTATCAGTGAATAAAGCCAATAAATACATTATAAAACACAGTTTGATTATAATACACTGAGAGTGATAGCTTCCTGTGGTGTCCCAGGGCCTGTTTGCAGAATATATAGAGCTCCTGGTGCAGTTTGGGTATTTGAGTCTTTTCTCCTGCGTGTATCCTCTGACGGCCGTGCTGCTGCTCATCAACAACATAACGGAGATCCGATCAGACGCCTATAAGATCTGCAACCTCTTCCGCAAGCCCTTCTCCCCTCCTGTGGCTAACATGGGCGTGTGGCAGGTCAGCAGGTCGGAACCTTTGTCACGCTCGTCCCGTTTATGAGCAAACAGTTCACGTTGTTGTCTCGTGTCCCAGGTTGCCTTCGAGGTCTTGAGTTTCGTCTCTGTTATTTCTAACTGCTGGTTGCTGCTGCTGTCGCCACGGTTACAAGAGCTGTGTCGCGAGGGCGGCCTGAGCAGCACGAACGTCCTGCTGTTGGCTGTTTTTGGGGAGGTAAGAAGAGAACTAAACAGCTAATCAAACACATTTCTGTGTATACCCCTGACATGTTTATCTTCGTGTGTGTTTGCAGCACGTGCTGATCTTAATCAAGTTTATTATGGCAGCCCTGATTCCCGATGAACCCGACTGGATCAGGAAGAAGAGGGATCAAATGGAGTACACATCCATGCAGGCCCTGAAAGAACAGGTTAACGCCATCTCCACTGACTTCATTGTCTAGCATTTTGGTGCACTCCTTCATCCATATGACATAATTTCTTTGTTTTTCCCCCCTCAGAAGCTGCAACCTGAAGTGTCCTAACTGTGTTTCAAGGTTGATGAGATGGTTCTTGATGTCATTGGAGGCCACCATCTTTAGCGTTGTGTGGAACCCAGCAGGAGAAAAGTAGTGGATCTCCAGCGGGGCCCATGATGTTTACTGCTGTGCCCCTGTGTTATCCCAAAGTGTATCTGCAGCTCTTTTCTCACTGATTAAGCCAATGCTTCTGTGATGGGCACACTTTGAAATGCATCTTCATAATATCCGTGCAATTGAAACAGCAGCTAAATAGTTTATTAGACAAGGGAATGTAACTGTTACGCTGCAGGTGAAGGCCAAAGGTATTTTTTGCAGAAACCCTCTAAAATGTAATTAGAACTTTCGCCACAAGGTGGCAGCGTTTTATAAGAAAATTTTAGAGTAGTAGTCCAGCCCAACCAGCATCTTTAGCGTTGCTATCTTAAAATTTGACTCCTGATTAATCTAATGTTTTTCTTTTTTTAAAGCATGGCCTGTGCTTTTCTAGTTACCAAAATAGGTGGGCAAGTAAGATAGTAACACAAATTCAGTGTGAATGTTGAGCTAACTCTCGCTTGAATAATTGGATGACACACTAACTCGCTGTACCATCTTGTGGTTCAAAGTGGTATTACAATTGAGCGCAGCGAAGCCTTAATTTCACTTTATTTGATATCTCTCCATCGTGATACATATACACAGGGATTTAAGTGGGCTGGATCGATCCAGCATATGCCATGGACTTGTAACATCATAGTCTGTTTACAGTTTTAATTACTTTTTAAAGGTTTTACATTATTTTTAAATTGTTGTGTTTTTACAAATAGACTGTCCTACAGTAAAGCAGTTTTTTTTTTAAAAGGAAAATGTATAGAGCACTTACAATCAATATTTAAGAAAGGCCACTAGCAATTCTAAAGATGGGCAGTACACTTGGCAATATTTTTCATGGTTTTCTCTCTGGGGTCTTCTTCTTCTCACTGCTGCCACCTGGTGGTAAGATGCAGTTTGGGATTCATAGTTGGCGACTGTATCTTCAATGAAGTAAATATCAAAAACCAACAATTGTCCATGAAAAGTTAGCCTTTAAAGCTGCTTGAATCAATACTTTGAATACATGCTTGTCTACATCCATGATTTAAATGCTCATCCATGTTTACAGTTCTCTAAAGGCACAATTCTAAATAGATGCTAATGTCACTGTGTGCTTGCTGGATGTTTAAATTAACTTTGCAAGGAAACATTTTTTGTGCCGACACCAAAAACTGATTTTTGCAGCTTTTAAAACCTCCAGCTTGAACTTACAGCTTGTATTTTTAGGAGCGATGACAGGTGAGTTTAGTGAGTATTGGAAGCGAAAAAGCAAAACACAGTGGTGTATTTTGCTAAATGTACTTTTATGCAAAGGACCAAATAATAGGAAATACTGTGGATACTCCCTTGAAGATACTGTCAACACGACAACTATAAAAGCTACTTTCAACTGTTTTCTTGTCATAAGGGATCACCACAGCAGCTGCCTTCACAGCTGATCTCACAGTTTTACACCAAATGCACTTCCTGACATTTAGCTTGAGCTAAATACAGTAAACTGTGTACCAATGTTTGCACTGAAAGCAGTTAGGAGCAACCAAAGAATCGCTATGTGCTTTGCTTTTAGAAATGCATTATTTTTGTATGTGTGGGATTTTTACTTGCTTGTTAAAACCTTGTAGTCTCTATCACTATACGAGTGTTATTGCACTGTTCAGTGCAGATTAATCTGAGATATTATGAGAAATGTGCAGAACGTGAAGCCGCTAGGGGAAGCCCACCATGCCCTCTGCACATGCTGAACAGTGGTGTCTTGTTCTTAGATAAGTTATTGTATTATTTTTAGGCGTTAGTAGTCTTTTCAGCCACCAGGGGGCACCACACGTTTTTATTTTACTTGCATGCAGCTTTCCACAAGCCTGGTCCCCGCTGAAGGACTGATTCAGCAAAGGTGCTGATAGATGGTGAGAGTTCCTCAAGAGGCTTCAGGTGCACATGTACAATCCTGACACTAATCGTAGGCCTGTGTGTGTTTGTGTGAAGTGGTCACGAGTTAATGAAAAGAAACTTTTAGGATCGGCGTTTCAGCTCTGACCACAGCGTTTGCTGGCTGTCTCAATAAACTGACAGAAGGAATTACTTGTTGTGAAGTTCTTGTATTTGATTATAATGATCACCAGAAAACTAACGGACAACAATCTGGGCTCATTTGTGCAGTTTGTTTTCCTTTATCTGGATCGTTTAGAACTAAACAAAATGATGTGAATATTTGATAGACACAATCATACTCTTGCAAGAAAAAGCACACAGTATTCTTTGCATGGTGCATTTTTACTGTGAAACAACTATGTAAAGCTACATGTCCACATCTTTGCAGTAATGACACTAATATAATGCTGACAACATTATGAGTTGCATAATAAATCTTGTATTTTATTATTTTAGTAACTCAGCTGCTTATAATGTGTAATTATAATACTTGGTTAGCACTGCTCCCTCACAGCAGTCCTGGGTTTGAATCTAGTCAGAGGTCCTTCTGTGTGGCGTCTCCTTATGACTGTGTGAGTACTTTCTGGGTAACCTGGGTTCTCTTGATAGTCCAAAAACATGCATGGGGTTTGGTTGCCTGTCTCCTCCCCTGACCCTTAATTGGAAAATTGAAGTTTGACTTATGTCTCTGAAAGCCAACAGCTGAGGGCTTGAAAAACAGAAAAATCCTGTATTTAAAAGTATTATTGCATATACAGAAAGTATTCAAAGGGATGTCAGCGTTAAACATCTGCAGCAGTAATATTAAACTATTTAACAGCGACAAATATTTACAGTTTTGTGTGTGGTGAGGTGTTTTCATAATGTTTTGTTTCTTTTCCTAAAGGCATGGTGTGAAAGTTTCCTGCGCCACTTGTCAGTTAATAATAATGATTTAAAAAAATTATAAGGAAGTCAGTGTATTTACCAGTACTCCCTGTGATCCAAAAACTCTGGTCACAGAAGCCCCACCTACCTGCTATTTGCATCTTTCGTTGCAATCAGAATCGCCAATCAGAAGAAAGTTGCATTAAAGGGTGAGAAGCTAAAACAGCTTGTTTCAGTGGATCGGTAGTAAGGATTTTATGAACTGTGAATCAAGTAGAGAATAAAAACATAAAGGTGGAAATGAGCTTTTCAAGAAGAGCATTTTGTTTTCAATGCGAGTTTCTGTGAAATAAACAGACTGCACACCATCCATCCTGCTGACTTATTCCATTTTAATAAATAAATACAGAAAAATAAGTTCATGGCTCCATAGAGATGTGGTCCTAGTTATAATGCAGGTCAGTAGACAGAGACGCACTGAGGAAAGACAGGCTGCAATCACACAGAAGCAAATAATTTTATCCCTCTACTGCACAGATTTTATGCTTCCACGGCTGATGAAACATGAGCGATAATCAGATTTCACGTGACGGCCGCTCTTTATGTAGGTGGGGAACCGACGATGGCGGGTCCTGATGAGAAATCCAATTTGTTGAGCTCATGAAGCTGCAGTGACTGACAACAGCAAGCTCTGGTTACTGAACTATAGGAGCAAGATGTAGCTTATTGTACAGCTTTGACCTTCTGTCCCCCTACAAAACATTACACCTTTGTATCTGCGTCGAAAAGGAAAAAATACAGAACACACATTATATGTCAAAATAATCCCACATGGAGAGTCTCCTCGGCTACACAATAACAAGCCATTGTGGTTGGGGCCGAATGATCAACAAATCTAGCCATCCAGTCCCCGGACACCGCTTGTTAAAAGCTGCCAGCTACAGTAGTCATACTGTGTGCAATTCATTATTCAGTGGGTTACCTCAAGGTAATTACAGTCACACGAGAACATAGAAACAACGACTGTCCTGTCAGGTCCAAGACACGTGGAGGTATATTGTGATAAATGACAGTATTAACATGCGCAAAGTCACATATCTCTTTAGAGAATTCATATCTTTGTCGCATTATAAAAAATATTAATCAAGGAACATCATATCTGCTCATCCAAAATAATAATAATAATAATAATAATAATAATGATAATAATAAAAAAAGTTACCATGTTTAGCAGAATTAAAAAGAAAAATGGAAGATCTGCATCCCAATCAGTGACCAGTGAGTCTAGAAACACTTTATATGGTAAGTTAGGACAAGCCATTCTATTAATATATATTTATATATGTATGAAACAAGGATTAAGAGGACAGGAAATCATATCATCTCTGTCCTATCATATCATAACAGTCTCCGTCTTTCTTTACAACAGCTTATAATAAGAGCTTTCAAACACAGGCAGGATGTGCAAAAGGAAAGTAGTGCTACTCTGCAGCAGAATCAGATTCCAAATAAAGCGCGTAGACGGTCACATAATACATCTGTGCATCCCAAAAAAATCTGCAGCTATTTTAATAATTATCTGTTTTTCTCCAAAAAAAAAAAAAACCAACAGTCGATGTTCTCATGATGTCAAATGTGTCTATTTTTTAAAAACCTCTTTTTTAGTCTCAATTTAAAGAGAATTCAGGTTTTGGTCCACTGGTCAAACACCCTTTCTCACAGTTTCCTGACAAAATAAACAAATCCATCATAATATTTGGCTGACTGATCAATAATAAAAAAAACACTTGCAGCTCTAGTTTAAAGGTCCATCTTATACATATGTAATAAAATAAGGAATCTGTAGAAGATAATCAATTAATGACTTTCAGAGCTTTTGCAGTCGAGACTAAAATGACACCGCTGTGATGTGAAGTATGAATCCATTTTATGCTGTTAGGCACCATCAAACAAATAAAATGGACTTTAGCTTATTCAATAAAAACTGCTTGTGGTTATCAGATCTCTCTCTCTTCTCTCTCCATCACCTTCTTTCTTCAGTCTCCCAAGTTCATATACAGTTAGGTCCAGTAAAGTTTCTAAGCTACACATTGGAAACAGTCTCGTTTAGTTCTGTGGTGGCTCCTGTACACAGCAGCAAAGGGACGAGGTTCTACTAAGTTTGACTACTGTACTCAGCACCAGCTCTCTGGGTGTTTACCAGACGAGCAAAGTGCTAGAGCGGAGTGTTTGCACGTATGAAGCTGTACACGGTCCTTCATGTACACTCAGCGGCAGAAAGCCTCAGCAGCGAGCTCAGCGGTCTGCCGCTTCACGCGATTTGTTCTCGGTAGCCGGTGACCCGCGGACCGCTAAACAGCCCTTGTCTCCCTAATGTGGAAGCAGCACAACAAATATCGCCGGGGCCGGTTTCACTTAGAGCACGTGGCAGCAGTTGTACTGAGCCAGCGGCAGGATCTTGGGCTTGTTGTGTGTCGGTATGTTGAAGGCCAGAGCTTTCTCACACAGAGGAAACTGAAAGAGACGCTCACGAAGCTTCACGCTGTGCCGTTTTCCCTGCTCCACCCTCGGGGCAGACTCCTCCCGGGTCGTCGCTGCACTGTGGGGCTGACACCTGTCTGTTAAGAGGTCATCTCTACCGCTTTCTCCTCCCCTGTCGCCTTCTCGTCCTCCTCGTTGCAGCTCCATCTTGTTCCGCCTGGCGGAGGACACCGGGGAGTGATGGGGGTCAGGTTTAGGGAGAGGAGGATGGGGTTTGTTGGTGTTGTTGTTGGGTTCCACCTCCTCGTCCTTTCCTTCCTCTCGGGCTGTGATGTCATGCTGGCCCTGACAGCACGGCACACCCAAAGCCAGCTGGGAGAATGGCGAGACTTCAGGAATCTGACTGACCAGCCTGTCTCCATGACTGACTGGCTGATCTG